AAAAATTTTGGAAATTTTTCGACCGATGGTTGATTTTTATTTCTCATTACACCATTTTTCATCAAATTAATGTAACACTACAGCACTTCTTTGTTAACGGATGACCGTAAGCCCAAAAATTTTGTCATCTCATCTGATATATGAATATAGGATACAATCATCTCATATAAGATTTCCCACACGATTATTCCAAAATGAATATCCGATCCTGCGTATATTGGCTTTCACCTAAAACTTTTAAAGAGATGTAAGATAGGATTCTGTAAACCCACAATCTTTTCAGTTACAAATCTAAGACGCTTAATGTTTAATGCTTTCAATTCGACAAATTTTTCACAATATTTTACAAATTTTTTAAATTTTCGGCTATTGAAATCAGTATATAATCCCAAAAAAGTCAATGTGGATGGTAAATTTGGAACTAAATCAAAACATTCCTTGGGAAATATGCCATGCGTATCAATAATGAAAGATTTAAGAGATGATTGCTGAAGGAAAGGATAAATAAATTTGAGTGAGTTTGCATATAAATTATTAATAGCTAACTCTTTAAGATTTGAGCAATGAATTAATAGTGCATTTGCAGTTTCTTGGCTTAATTCATCCAGATGTAAAACTTCCAAAGTTGATCCCCATATAGAAATTAAAGTGGTCATGACAATTTGATCGAAGCTTAAGCCTATGATTTCTAATTTTTTTAAATTCAAATTGTTCTTAGATAATGAAGTGCAATGAGTTATTGTCATTTTTTGACATTTATAGAAACTAATTCTAACTAAATTCTGGCATTTGGAAATATTTTCTATATTATCTGGAGAAATTTTTGAAAAATCCATATACTGTAATATAAGCTCTTTTAAGGAATTTCCAACATATTTTAACGCTGAAAAAATCTTAATATAACCTGTTTCTTCAGCAGATTTGACGATAAGTGCTGAATCACCAATAACAGCATTTGTTAGCATTAAGGCAGTTTTTGCTGCAATCTCTATTATAAAGAAGGCATGTTATGATCTCAATTTTCAAATGAAGTTAAACATACGTATTCAGGTTATTGTTATAAATACCTTTCTGAAACGTGATATAGGCAATTTGTTTGCTATCCTTTTCACTCCTGCATAATTAATTAATATAAATTTTAGGATATGTAATTTAAAATATGTAAAATATGTTTAAATTATAACATGAACTTACTTTTTAAGTTTAAATTCACTAATTCGTCCACAGAATAAAAAAAAATCCTTAACTAATAAAACATTAAATAAGTAAAAAAGTTCATTTAACAAGAATCTTCATAATATGCATTCTTAACTTACTTGTTTTTTCACTTGCCAAATTTGAAATCTCATACACAACAACACTCCTACCTATAATATAAGTATCAAGATCTATTTTTTCAAATTTTTTGTGAGATTTTATAATATTTACAAGTGCATCGCTTTCATCATTATGTAAATAAGATTTAATATTGAGTTGTTTAAGATAAGGGCATGCTTTAGGTGTTAATGCATTCATAAATTCCAATATGTTCGTGTTAGTGAAATCCAACTTAACACGTAATGTTTTTAATTGTGATATTCCTGGTATAGCGTTCAAGAATGTTGATACTGTTGGAAACATAAGTTGATCATTGATTAATAATTCTTCAAGATTTTCACTTCTTTGAAGAAACATTGTAATCAAAGATTCCATAATATTATTATATGCTAATGTAAACATTTCTTTATCATTACAATGCTCAATAAAACCTTCCCATTTAAGCCACATCTCTACACCATTTCTGATCGAACTAGTATCAAGAACCTTTAAGAAAGTTCCATATTCAAATAATGGTTTTGAAAAGTTGGGAAGTGTTATACCAAATAAGATAAGTGGTTTCTTTTCTTCAGGAGATAATGTTGAAAGGTATGTTCGTACAAGTGATTTGGAAACCTTTCTTTGTAATGGATTGCTCCATAATATTGGTATTGCGTTTAGACACCAAAGACGATTAACAAGACAACATGAGAATAAACTTTTACTATCGTTTGCAAAATTATTAAAAATTGTGTAACATGAGAATAAACTTTTACTATCGTTTGCAAAATTATTGAAAATTGTGTAAATACACTCGTTCGGTATTTCTTTCATGGTAGGTAAAAGGTAATGCAATACAGTACGTATGTACGTACGTAGTGCGGGAATATGTACTTATCTGTTATAGAGTATGTACGTATCTGAAATGTGACCTGAAAATCTATGCAGGCAGCCAAATATATATTAGCGCTTGATTACGTAATTTCTTCATTCGAAAATTCGATAACGATGACGATAAAATTTATTGCAATAAAAGAAATAATGTCAAAATTCATATAAATTTATATAAAATTATGATAAAAAATTTCCAACAAAGGTATTTAGGAAACAGACAGAAATAAATTTCTTTTTACTTTTTATTTATATAAATTTGCTTAACACGTCGTTGTTAAAATAGATTTATAGGATTTTACTGAAAACAAACGCTAGTTCTAAATATTAGGCGTTGTCGGACCATAATGTAACTAGATGGTCCATCTGGACATATTTGTTTGATTGGAACGCTAATCTACTGAACCAATTCAATTTTGCCACGAAGCAGGGTTATGATTGATCGTTAAAATGCTTAATATAAGCTGAAATTTATATAGAATGACGAAACAGATATGATTAGATTGATAAAAATCAGTAACATATATTAGTAAAATTTTCATTTAATGAAGGCTAAATTCATTTATTTGCATCAGTTAGTGAAATTTCTTATTTCATAATCGAGTTCTGGCTCAGTGTCAGGTATTGATGGTGCACGGTTTCAAGTTTGAGTACAGTATCGCCGGTTTGGCACAAAACCTAGACCGAGGACTGTGTGAAACATTAATAACAGATTTTCGCGTTGATATATTGACAAATTCTTTTAGTAATGTCATGCAACCATTCGCAAGTCACGACAAACAGCTAGATATAGATGATAATATAAAATTGCCAATAAGTAATAAGGAAATATCAATTGATTTGTTGATTTTTTTTCAAGATATTAAAAAAATCGCTTTACTACTGTGTACAAATGAGGTAGCCGAAAAAGACAATAACTTTCATACAATTTTGCTCTTGAAAAATCTCATGACAATGATTATCAATGAGACTATTATTGTTATTTTTATTATTATTGCATCGTATATTTTTATTAGCCAAATTTTTAAAAGTTAAAACCTTACTGTAATGCGAACTGTGATATTAATACAAAGTCCTTCATTTTTAAAATACTGTAATATGGAAAACCAAGAAACAAAAAGAAAAGTATATCTTTTTCATAAAATATTTAGTGCTCAGTGTTTTATGTAAGAATTTCATTTAATATCGTTAATGAAATGTGAAGTTAAACTTGTTATTGAGCATAACTTTTGATCTCAAAGCGATCCGTTCAAAAATCTAATTCATCGAAATTTGCATAATGATAATTTCTCACAAGACGATTTCACAGTACAAATATCGCGGATTTGAATAAAAAGATTGTGGGTTTACAGAATCCTATCTTACATCGCTTCAAAAGTTTTAGGTGGAAACCAATATACACAGGATCGGATATTCATTTTGGAATAATCGTGTGGGAAATCTTATGAGATGATTGTATCATATATTCATATATCAGATGAGATGACGAAATTTTTGGGTTACGGTCATCCGTTAACAAAGAAGTGCTGTAATGTTACATTAATTTGATGAAAAATGGTGTAATGAGAAATAAAAATCAACCATCGGTCGAAAAATTTCCAAAATTTTT